GGATAATTTGTAGAAAATTGTTTTCATTCGATATTTGTAACAAAATATTGTTAACAGTTCCTATGAATATTAATTTTTTTCAGAAGTTTATTTGTTTTAGATTCTTCTAATTATTGTTTTTTTTGTCTTTTATGAATGTTTTCATTTTAGGTTTTGTTTGCGTTTCTAACTTATTAAGTTTGGCTTATTAAGTTCATTTTTTTATATTCTTTTTAGAGTTTATTTTTAAATTTTGTTTACCGTAATTTATTTATTATTAATTCCAATAGAAGTGTTGAGACCGTAATCTTCATCTAACATTTCAACATATGTTATGGCGTAGAAATTTTGCATCAACGAATATCACTCATTTTTAAAGTTTAAACCGAGAAATTTTAGAGCATCTGATTTCAATCATTTTAAAATTAAATACTACAGAAAAATGTTTTTTCCACAATTTGCAACAAAAGATTATTATCATCCACTTTTTTGTTATCTTTTATAGCACTATTTTCTGATCGATCTTCTTGACTTCGACCTTAGAAATGTGAAAAATATTAAAATCATAGAACAGAAGACGCAAAAGGCGCAAAAATATGAAAGCGGGAAAAAGGCGCTAAAATATAAAACAGACTATACCCAAATATTTTACTGCCCGAAATTCAAAAGGTCAAATATTCAATCGGAAAACAGTATTCTATATACATTATAGTACTTATACTTAAAAAGTCAGAAATTAATAAATGCAAAATATTTAAAACAATCAATTTCAATAAAAGTATACAATTCAATAATTTCAATAACGAATTGTTTTAAACAATTCGTTATTGAAAGTCTTAAAAATTTGTTGGCGTTGAGGACTTATATGAAGAATGCGTGGAAATTCTTATAGCAAATATTTTGCAACGTTTATAATTTCAAAACAATTTTGAACTCCAAATTATTTTACTAGCAATGCTTCATCCTTTTTTATATCATCAGTAAAATGCGATACGATTAACTGTTAAATATAATATAGGGTTGATAATTAAATTTATTGATTAGCTGAAATTTAATTATTAATTTTACAGACGTATTTTTTGGTTGATCAATTGATTAAAATCAATTGGCAAAAGAGCATACTAATTTTGCTAAAAATAAATCAAAGAAGTGAAACACATAAACTTCCTGAAATATTGTTTAATGATAAGATATCAAATATCTTATTGACATTATATAATTATCTGTAATAAATTTATCTGGTAGTTTTAAAACTGTTAAAAATTTTTTATATTAATTCGAAAACTTTGCAGAAATATGATCATCATTCAATTATCAACAGTTTGCTATGCTATTATAACTTTTAATAAAAGCTAAAGCTTTTCATTATTGCCAGCCATCTATGAATTGAATTGATTAGTGGTTTATAAATTCCGTCATATTTTCAGAACAAGTATTAACATTTTCATTTGATAACTTCCGAATTGCACATGAAAAACACATTATTTACATATATCATATATAACAGAAATATATATATTATATATTATAGTAGTTGTAAAAGCGACAGATATTTCAAGCACGAAATGATTTTAACTGTACATTTCCTTCACTTCAGTATTTCTTGAAAGTTTTAATTTGGCTGGCAACAACTATTACATTGTTTAGAATGCATTAATCCTAAAGAATAATGTGATTTCAATCATATCCTTCTCATTTCTTTTTTTTTGTTAAATCTTAATTAAATTCAAAAAATTGATAGGATTTTATTTTATATATATTCCATTCAAAATTATACATACAATCTTATCAAATCACTTTTGACATTTAATCAGGTAATAGCTGGCAAAACATAAACGATAGAATGAAATTTGTACAAAAATAACTTAAGCCAACACAATACAATAATTTACAGTCCTGCGAATCTAATTATTTCCCTAATTGATATCCCTGTGTCGATGGCATCTGATATCAACATTTTTAAGGAGCTTTCTGTAGAATATAGCTTTTTACTGAAACTTTTATGTGTATTAAAGTGTGCTTTCAATTTATCCTTTCGAGTAAAAGTCTTACCACATCCTTCACATTTGAATGGTCGTATGTTTTCGTGCGTCAATTGATGTCTCTTCAGACTACCAAACCTTCCGAATGTTATATTGCACACGTGACATTTGAATGGTCGTTCGTTTCCGTGCGTCATTTTGTGCCTCTTCAGATTTCCGGATTCTTTGAATGCATTACCACATACTTCACATTTAAATGATCGTATTTTTCCGTGCGCCAATTTGTGTCTCTTCAGATTTCGGAATCCTTTGAATGCTTTATCACATATGTTGCATTTCAGTACCTTTTCAAAGTCCGTATGTGTCATCATATGTTCTTTCAGAGCGCAGCGCTGTTTGAATGCTTTATCGCAAATAGCACATTTGAATGACCGCACGTTTTCATGCGTCAACATGTGTCTCCTCAGATTCCTAGATACTTTGAATGTTTTACTACACATGTGACATTTACATGGTCGTTCGTTTCCGTGCGTCAAATTGTGTTTCTTCAGTTCGCCGGACCGTTTGAATGTTTTATTACACACACAGCATTTGAATGGTCGCTCGTTTCCGTGCGACAATTTGTGTATTTTCAAATCACCGGACCGTTTGCATGTTTTGTTGCAAACGTGACACTTGAATGGTCGTTCGTCTTCGTGCGTTAATTTGTGTTTCTTCAGATTGCCGGACCATTTGAATGTTTTATTGCACACGTAACATTTGAATGGTCGTTGGTTTCCGTGCGTCACTTGGTGGTTCTTCAGATAGTCGGACCTTTGGAATACTTTATTGCATACTTTACATATGTAATTTTTTTCATCGGTATGTATCACCTTATGGCGTTTCAGAGTGCCTGAACATCCGAACTGCTTATCGCATACTTCACATTTGTACCGTTTTTCGTTTGCTTTACTGTCATTAGTCGTAGTACTTATTTCTTCATTTTTTATTGCTGCTTGTATTGCCTCATTACCTTCATTTGATACCTGAAATAACCCAAAATGATATGTTAATATATTTGATTATTATTTTCCTATGAATTTTGAGCAGCAATAGTTAGAGGCATTGTGCAGATATCATTGTAGAATCTTTAGATGGCGACAATTCACTTCTATAATTTAAAAAATGGCCCGGTGAATTGTAATAATAAATTGAAAGTCAATTGTATTATATTGTGACAGTTGATTTGAGACAGAAGGAATAACAGAAATAGTTCGGTGATTCAATTTGTGAACTTTTGCTTTTGAATTTGTTTTTTGCTATAGGATATGAACACATAAATAGATCAGAAATAAAAAGTTTAATTTTCCTTCACTAGAAACAGCTGTTTTTGTCCTTAGCTAAGATTAAAAACTTTATGAATATTTAATTTCTGTACTGAAAGCGATATCTTATTTCACATACCGTTATTTGTGCGATGTACAACGGCAATATAAGCAATACCAAATAATACGATGGGTACATGGTCGAGAAATGACAGAATATGAAAATCGTCAAAGTCTATTCGAAAAATATTTTTAGCAGGCAATCAACTTTACGAACTGATATTTAACTGAGAAGACCGTTTTTATGCATTCCGGGAATCCGTATGATCTATGACCATATGTGATCACAAATCTCCAGTCTTTTTGCATATTAATTTTCACTCCATTCTAAAACTTTTTGTTAGTTACACTGAATAATAATAGTTTCATGCAAATGTGATTATAACTGGCAGCATTGTTCAGAATTGTCATCAAAATTTTATGTATTCTTTAAGCAAATTCTATTTCGATATTTAAATTCGACATTTAAATGTTGTTATACTTTTTTGGTGTGAGGATAATTTTCAGACAACAAACGTTTGCATATAAAGCGATGAATTAAATGCATATAAAGCGATGAATCAAACAATCATTGGAAGATTTCATTCACTTCCAATCACAATATAATACGTTGTTGAATATGTTTATCAGTGCTGTGTATAATTTATTTATATATTTTTCGAATTTTAATTTTAGTGAAATGGAAAAATTATTGTTGCTTTATTGATGCTTAACAGCCAATGTTCAAATCTTCAAATTTTTTTGTACAATTTCATCAATTACTTCTTACATTCAATCAGGAAATAGTACGCCAAGAACAAATGGCAAAAAATCAATACAAACAACCAATCGAATGAAGTGATATTTGCCGTATTAACAGGGAGAACCGTTTTTATGCATTCCGGTAAGCCGTATGATCTATGATGATCAAATATAATCATAAAACTCTCAGTCTTTTAGCATAATTTTTTGTCAGTTACACTGAATAATGATAGTTTCAAGACCAAAAATTAATTCGTTGAATTAATTTCTGGTCTTAAAACCTATTATTATTCAATAATAATAGGTTTTCAACGAATTAATTTCTGTTCTTGAAATTTCATTTTATATACAATTTAAATGAATGTAAAATAATTTTTAGAGAGTATCAAATAAAAAAAATAATTTTTGATTTAATCATTTAAGAAATAAATTTTGTTAAATTTCAAACTGTACAACATTGCTTTATCATTTGTTGCTCAATTTTTATGCAATCGATTTTGAATATCATTTATTTGTAAAAAGATGAGATAGTAATTAATAATTAATATTGTTTGTTTAAGAAATTAATTTGAAAAGATCATCATCTCTTAACGAACTTTTTGTTTAAATTCTATCCAAACAAATTTACATCATTGTATTATTTGTTATATTAAAAGTTATTTCAATTTCTTCTTTTGTCTTTTTGTCTCAAATTCTATTGACAGATATTTTTTGCTGTAAGTATTTGCTTATATAAGTACAGTCCTGTGAAATAAAACAGATGCAACCAAATATTGTCTGTATTGGGAAATTGGAAGTATCGATGCACGAAAATATGGAAATCATCTTATTATAGAAGAGTTACAACAGAAATAATGAATTACACGAAATTACCGGAAATGAATTCTCAATTCTACAAATACGTGTAGAGAAATTTCAAGAAGCATTAAAAATGCATTGAAATTAGATTGAAGAAATCATTCAGGTAATTTAAATCAATAGATAATTATTATTACGAATATCGGGTGAATTGGTGATTATATCTCCGATTATTATTATATTATCAAATGATATATCATTGACTATTATGCTATATTGTATTACGTATCAAATGATATATTATTCTATTAATGGATGTTGACGACATACTACATTATATATAGTGTAATATAAAATTGATAAATAAATAGGTTTTGGAAAATTTATAGTTATCTAATGCTTGTTTTTTGTCTCAACAATAATTTTATATTTACAACTTTTTCAATATTTCAAATTATACCTAAAAATGTTGAGCAACCACAATTTTCATCTGAAATTCATTCTACTGATAATGAAATGGTATAAATTCTTTCTTTTCTTAATTTCTTTGTTCGAATCAGAAATTTTTAAATAATATAAGAATTAATATCAAAAAATATCAAACAATCATTCAAAGATTTCGTTAACTTCCGATCACAACTAATACGTTGTTTAATATGTTTATCAGTGCTGCACAATTTGTTTATATATTTTCCGAATTTTTTAGAACTTTTTCAATATTTCAAATTATACCTGAAAATGTTGAGCAACCACAATTTTCATCTGAAACAATTTTCATCTGAAATTTTTCAAAAAAAAAAAATTTTAGTGAAATGGAAAAATATTGTTGCTTTGTTGATGCTGGCAGCCAATATTCAAATTTTCAAAATTATATGTGCAATTTCATCAATCACTTTTTACATTCAATCGAGGAATAGCGGGCAAAGAACAAATGGCAAGAAAACAGTAAAAATATAATTTACGCCAATACAATACAATAATTTATAGTCCTGCGAATCTAATTATTTCCCTTATTGATATTTCTGTGTCAATGATTTCTCCAATCGATATCATTAAGGAGCTTGCTGTAGAAAATAGCTCTTTAATCAAACTTTTATGCACATTAATGTGTTTTTTCAAGCAATCCTTTCGAGTAAAAGTTTTACCACATCCTTCACATTTGAATGGTCGTACGTTTCCGTGCGTCAAATTGTGTCTCTTCAAATCGCCGAACCGTTTGAATGTTTTATTGCACATGTAACATTTGAATGATCGCTCGCTTTCGTGCATCACTTGGTGTTTCTTCAGTTCGCTGGACCATTTGAATGTTTTCTTGCACACGTAACATTTGAATTGTCGTTCGTTTGCATGCAACAATTGATGGCTCTTTAAATTGTCGGACCTTTGGAACGCTTTATTGCATACCTTACATATGTAATTTTTTTCACCGGTATGTATCATCTTGTGGCGTTTCAGACTGCCTGCATATCCTAACTGTTTATCGCATATTTCACATTTGTACCGTTTTTCGTTTGCTTTACAGTCATCAGCCACAGTCCTTATTTCATTGTCATTTCTCAGGTCTGCTTGCATTGACCAATCGCCTTCATTCGATACCTGAAATAACCCAAAATGATTTCGTAATATATTTAATTATTATTTTCCTGTGAACTTTGAGCAAATCAGAGACATTGTGTAGATATCACTGTAGAATCTTTGAATGGCAACAATTCACTTCAATATTTTTAAATTGCTCGGTGAATTGTATTAATAATTTGAAAAATTGTCAGTTGCGCTATATTGTGACAGTTGATTTGAGACAGAAAGATTAACAGATCGATCGAAAATGATTTGGCGATAAAAATGATTTCGCAATTCAATGCACAAATTTTTTGTGTTTCACTTTTGGTTGAGCAGCGTTTAGACGTAACAGAGAAATAGAAATGAATAATTTTTCTTCATACTAGGCAGGTATTTTTGTTCTTAGCTAAGATAAAAAATTTTGTAAATATTTATTTCTTATACTGAGAAGCAATATCCTATTCACATACCACTATTTGCGCAACGTACAACGGCAACACAAGCAATACCAAATATGACAGATACATCGTCGAGAAGTAATGCGATGTGAAAATAGTCGAATTCTTTTCGAAAAATATTTTTTGCAGACAACCAATCTAATCAAGTGATATTTGTCGTATTAACTGAGAAGACTGCTTTTATGCTTTCCGGTTTTCCGGTAAGCCGTATGATCTATGGCCAAATATAATCATAAAACTTCAGTCTTTTCGCATAATAATCTTCACTCCAATTTAATATTTTTTGTTAGTTACAGTGAAAAATAATAGTTTCATGCAAATCTGATTATAACTGGCAGCATTGTTCAGAACTGTCACCAAATCACTTCAACCCCGAGTAGAATGAAATCATTCGAAGAATGATTTCACAATAATGCAATGTATAATTATCACCAAAGAACGATAAAGCATTGCTATTATAATAATTTGAAGTTCGAAACTATTTTGAAACTATTAACATTCAAAATATTTGCTATTCGAATTTTCAAGCGTTAATCGTCTAACAGATTTTCATGGCATTCAGCTAGCCATTGTTTTAAATGTAATCGATCGTTTAATTTCTATTATCATTGATTTTTGAATAACCGAAACATAATTTTATACTTTTTATTGAAATTGATTTGGTTTAAATATTTTGCTTTTATTAATTCATCTTTTAACTATTAGTACTGTAACGTACATTGGATACTGCTTTTTGATGGAATAAGTCTTTTTAAGTACGAAGATTCCGAGTTGAAAGGATTTGATGACAGATCTGAACAATACTGCCAGTTATAATCACATTTGCATGAAATTATTATTATTCAGTGTAACTAACAAAAAATTCTAAAGTGTAGTGGAATCAAAATAATTTTGCCAAAAGATTAGGCTTCTGTGATTATATGGTCATGGATTATACGTGGTCATGGATCGAACTGAAAACAATGAAATCCGGATCTCATCTGCTTTTTTCATAAATTTCCTGGTCCCTGAATATCTTTCTTTCAATACTGCTTCGGAATGCTTAATAATTCTTTTCTACCCACAAACTGTAAAATTTGTTGGAATTATGCTTCACAATTTATTGGAAACTGAAATTACTGAAATTGGAAACTTACTGAAAGCCATGAAAATCTGTTGGAGTTTAACAGTTATGCGAATAATGCTTAACAATTCTAATATTTTGAATGATAATAATTCCAAAATAGTTTCGAATTATTTTATTAGCAATGCTTTATCGTTTTACACATCGCATTATTGTGTATTCGCTTCGAATAATTTCATTCTATTCAAAGTTAAAGAGATTTGGTGACAATTCTGAACAATGCTGCCATTTATAATCACATTTGCATGAAACTATTATTATTCACTGCAACTCATAAAAAATATTAGAGTGAGAAAAGACTGAGGTTTTATGATTATATTTGATCATAGATTACAAGGATTACCGGAATGCATAAAAACGGTCCTCTCTGTTAAATATCACTTCAGTTGGTTGCATGCTAAAAAACATTTTTCGAAAAGCCTACGACGAATTCCTCATTCTACCACTTCTCGATTATGTTTATATCGTATCATTTCGTAGTGCTCGTGTTGCCGTTGTACGTCGCGCAAATAACGGTATGTGAATAAGATATCGCTTCCAATATAGAAATTAAATATTGACAAAGTTTTTAATCTCAGCTAAGGACAAAAACAACTGCTTCCTGTGAAGAAAATTAAATTTTTCATTTCTTATCCATTTCCTGTTACTTCTAATCAGTCGAAATATTCTGCGATCAAACCCTATAGCAATACTCAAAGTCGGAAGCAAAACTTTGCAAATTGAATCACCGAACTATTTTTGTTACATCGATCTGTCAATCCTTCTGTCTCAAATCAACTGTCACAATATAGCAGAACTGACAATTTTTTCAGTTTATTATTACAATTCAACGAGCTATTTTACAATATAGAAGTAAATTGTTGCCATTCAAAGATTCTACAATGATATATGCACTGATTTGCTCAAAGTTCATAAGAAAATAATAATTAAACATATTAACAAATCATTTTGGGTTATATCAGGTATCAAATGAAGGCGATCAATCAATGCAAGCAGACCTGAGAAATGACAATGAAATAAGGACTGTGGCTGATGACGGGAAAGCAAACGAAAAACGGTACAAATGTGAAGTATGCGATAAACAGTTAGGACATGCAGGCAGTCTGAAACGCCACAAGATGATACATACCGGTGGAAAAAATTACATATGTAAGGTATGCAATAAAGCATGGCAAAGGTCCGACGGTTTGAAGAAACACCAATTGATGCATGCAAACGAACGACAATTCAAATGTTACGTGTGCAATAAAACATTCAAACGGTCCGACGAACTGAGGAAGCACCAAGTGACGCACGGAAGCGAACGACCATTCAAATGTCATATGTGCAATAAAACATTCAAACGGTCCGACGATTTGAAGAAACACAATTTGACGCACAAGAACGAACGACCATTCAAATGTTACATGTGCAATAAAACATTCAAACGGTCCGGCAATTTAAGGAGACACAATTTGACTCACAGGAACAAACATGAGCGACCATTCAAATGTGAAATGCGTGGTAAGAAATTCACTCAAACAGGTAGTTTGAATAAACACATTAAAAGCCGTAAAAGTTCGAGTGAAAAGTTATATTCAGTAGTAAGCTCCTTAATAATATCGATAGCAGATGATATCATTGACACAGAAATATTTATAAAGGAAATATTTACATTCG